GAGGTTGGGGGAGGGGGGGGGGAGAGGGAAGAGAGGCTGAGGAACGAGAGATCGATGCGAGACGATCCGGATGCGGGGAAAAATTGATCATATTTTTCGGATTGCCGCGATCGAAACGGAGGCAATATGGCGGCGAGAGTACGAATTTTCGATTCGCCGAGATTCGAAGATCCTCCTGCGCGTCTCGAGTTTCACTCGAGATCCATCTGACGATCGATTTCCGAGTTTCGGTTTAGTTCACTCGCAACCTCTCGAAACGTCTATTTCGTTCTTCGCGAAAGCAGGTACGTTTGTAATGAAATGTCGACGAGTTCTCCCCTCCGTCCGGACGGGATCGATTTTAAATTTATTGTAGAATTTGTCGCGCCACGAAATAATTCAGAGATATCGAGATGTAATCCCCCGCACATGCGGCAGACATACCGCTCGATTTCCCGATTGACATTTCCGATCCACGCGATGCGCGCTTAATAAATCCGTGTTTCGTTCGAGTAATTGTAAACACGCTTTCGGATATTGCATTTGTAGAATAATTAACCCTCAGATAATTGTCGTTGTTGACCGGCCACCGTTTTTCACTACCAGTGGGTGCGTTCGGTGAGCTTGTGACCTTGTGATTTCGTCCTCCCTCGTTCTCTCCGTATCGTCCCGTCATATTTATGTTCTTACGCGCGCAACATTTTTTCCCTGTTTCGAGCGGTTTCTCCGGAGATTACATTCGATCTCTCGTGTCTATCAAAAGTCATCCCGGAGTTTCGCGGCATTTTCGTCACGTTCGCTCAGACGAGAGCTTATCTTCCCACGTAATGATCGACGAGTGTGTGCGCGCTGTTGCTGCATCGTACGAAGTTCGGACATGCAATGGTAATGCAAAACCGTGTTCGTTCCGAGTTCGATCACGTTTGACATTTGTCATCGAATCGTACACCGTCGACCTGATCTCGCAAATCTTGATTTCAGAGTGCACTTTCCCGAAACTCGGAAATCGAAAGTGGCGATTACGTGGGAAGATCAATCAGCTTAAAATCGTGAGGCGATGCGCATTTATAATTAGAGCCTATATCTAATTTCACCATCCGTAAAGTTCGCAGGATTTAATTATCTTTGTTTCAATTATGCGCTTATTTCTCGCCATTTGGATTTGTGTACCTTGAGAACCTTGACTTTTTGCGACTTCGAGCGATCCCTTATTTCCCTTGAGTTGAAACACCGGGAAACAAACCGAGGTAAAAGGGGCCGCGCGCGCGTAATTAAGATAAAGATAATTCGCAGACGTAATTTTATGCGTGGGGTTAGTTTAATCAGACGCATTATTACGCACGAAACACTCGGCTGCGTGTTTACCATTTCCGGAAGATCTCATTAAAGATAAGGAATACCACGAGACTTAGTTTTCCTACGGCCAAATTAATTCTCGCGTTTCGCAAATATGTGAAATTTCCGTTTACAAAATGGCGTATGTGTACTTTTTGCCCGTTTACCCTCTCTAATTAAGCCGCATTCCACGTGAAACCCGTGAGATAAGGTGGAAGAGGAAAGTATCGTTCGAGAAAAGCGTGTACATTCGCACGACACCTGACCGTTGCATTATACTTCGTCTGAGAACCGATTGCGGTTACGAGGGGACTCTTCTTTTTTTTCCTTTTTTCTTGAACGTTCAGCGCTGAGTTCTTATCGTAGATGACGCGAATGCGAATGATTCACGCGCATGAATGGGTAAAAATATTGATTTTCCGATCCATCCCCTTTGTATTTATAGCGATGCTCCCGTATCCATTCCAACGGTCTAAAGTTGTGCAATACTTTCGACACATCACCACCACGCGCGAACACCGCGGCACATTGTGTACGTAGGAGGAGAGAGAGAAAGAGGAGCATAAATTGTTAAACAGGGGGTCGCCGTCTCGAATATATAATTACCGTATAATAATTTCGCTCGGGATTCCCTTAGCGCCGCAATGCTCGATCGTTAAATCCTTTTTAACAATATCGCGCGACGACGTAGACCTTCACTGCTGATTGTAACATTATATGCAAAAAAACAACAATATATTATCAGATCCCAGTAATTTCATTTTACGATTATAATTACAAACATCACTTCTCCTTTTGCTCTGCTAATTCTTTCTCTGCATGTCTACGCGTTACCAATCTGTTAATATTTTCCACCAACAGTTTCCTCCGTGTGGAATACATTCTCCATAATGTGTGTGCTGTGTCGCGACCGAGTCTGTGAAGAAAGTCGAAAGAGCGCGAATCGCGTGAAACAACGTGTGCGATTTTTCATACGCTCAGATTGTATCAGCGGCAAACGCGACCAGACGCACGCTACGATTGTATCGCGATGTCGCCCCCTTTAATAATATTGCGCAATAGAGAGAAGTAGAATACGGATACGTGTTCAATGACGATGCGCGAGCATGCTCGGCCGCGAACTTCCAGACGCTGGTCAACTTCGCGTGTGACAGATTAAAAGGAGCGACAATGCACGACCAACGGGACCGGAAGAAGCGCGGCGATTGTTCGCGAGCACTTAAAGGGAAGAACTATCTTCTCGATTCGTAGAGAATAAAACTCGTCCCTTTCCCCTTTTCGGCTTATCGCTTCGCGCGCGAACTTCTCAACCGGCAGGTGAAACGACGAGCGACATGTCACTATTAACCCTGAAAAGATCAGACTGACCTCAAGTCACTTTCATTTCGGAGTAGTTTTTCAAAAAAGCTAATTTTGTGCGATGTAATTTGTTTACTTTGGCAACCCGTAGAATTATAAACGGGAAAGAAAACAACAGTCCGGTCTCGCGACCGCGTCGATAAAGCTCTCTCGTGCGCCCACCGACCTAGCCGCTCTCTGCTGTCTTTATCGGTCATTGGCGACGAAACGGCCGCGACACGTTTTGGTCCGTGATCTTGGTGGCGGGACAACGCCGGGCCAGGTGGCATGCCGCCGGTGGTACCTTTCACCTCTGGAAACCTGCCAACTCTTCCTCGAGGGCAAGGACAGAGCTGGCCAATAGATCACGCCGCGGTCCGTTGCACACCACTACCGACTCACGCGTTAGGGGTGGATCACGTTATTTCCGTCTACCACCAGCCATCAGCCTCGGCGCTCTTAAAGGAGATTCGCATTTTATGAATCAAACGATTCCGTCCGTCTCGCTCGACGCGGCGTGTTTCGATTATTGAAAAGAATACGCTTTTGTCTCGGGATCGTCTCGGGCATGGCAGCGTTCAGGAAGGCAGTCTGTATTATTTGTGTACGGATTAATCATAGCAATTGGTCTCTTGAAAAGGTCTGACATCAAAAAGTTTTGGAAGGTCTGCGAACCTGTCGCGGTTTCCCTCTATCCGACGGCTCTCGCTCGAGAATACTCGTCGGTCGATACGACCGATTCGCGTGTCCGGTTTAGCCACTTGTTTCAACGCTCGGCCTGTTTTTAACTGTCTCACCCCTGTTTATATCCTGTACCGTTCGAAGATAGCTTCTAATCGCGGATGGAAACACACGTATCGAATACGAGACGAGACGATAACCGGTGGACCGTTGGGCCAAGGCAGCTAGACTTTACGTTTCATTAATTCGGAATAAGATTCGTTCAACTACAATTTCACGAGACACGTGTGTCGTCTATAAAGAGAGAGAGAGAGAGAGAGAGAGAGAGAGAGAAAGAAATCCGATTTAAACGAGGTCGAGAGTATACGCGACACAAATCGCGCATTCGTTCGCCACGAATGCTTTCGAGCTCGCGATCTTCGGTCAGATTTACGATCGCTCAAAATCGTCGAAGCGATCAAAGCATTAAACAATCGAGGTACGGATCTCTGCAAAGCCAAAGATCGTGTCTCGTGCTTCGCGTCTTATCTGTTCAGTTGCATCGCGGATGCCTGAGCGGCTGAAGTTTCGTAATTGATGCGCTTTTGCGCTAGTCTCATGACGTCAACAGTCCTTTGGCGGGAAACGTTGGTTCCCGTCCCCCTCCCTCCCTCTTTCTCTGTCTGTCTCTTTGTTTCTTGACCTGCCCGCAGCGGTCTTGACAAGCGACCAGCTGATCGCTTCTTCTCCTGATTACCGACCACGTCGGCGTCAAGGGAGTCGCCGCGATCAGGAGGGTGGACGACGACGACGTTGGAGACGTCGCGTCGCGTCTGCGCGTCGCGACGTCGTCGGTGGGTCGGTCGGTCGGTCGGTCGGTCGGTGGGTAGGTATTGATTTTCCGGTCGTGTTGTGTGAGTTAGTGTGCAGTCGTTCACTCGTTGGCCGTGCGCATACACACGCGAAACACACACTCACTCCACGACGGCCGGCACACCGCGGCGCGGCTGCGAATCCGCCCGCGGAATTCCGCAAGGTCTCTCTCCTTGTAGCGTTCAGTGAGTGCTACCCTCTGGCCGCCTTGCGGAAGGTCCGACCGTTCCTCTAAGCCCCTCCGATCGACGTCTCGAGCGAGGCGCTCGCGGACCTTCTCATTGGTTTCCGTTGTGATTGTCGAGAGGAAGATCTCCATCGTTCGATTTCGCCCACGGTGCTCGGTTGCTGTCTCCTTGTCGTCGTCGTCGGTGCTTTGACGTGATAAGGTGTCGTTACTCTCACTCTGCTCTCGGCTACTTCCTTCGAGGGGACCGCGAACGAGAACGCGACTCCGCGAGAACGTTTAACAAAACGGCATCCGGGAACGAATGTGAATCGCTCAACGTGTAGGGATACTTGTTCTCACAACGAGCGTTGTCTTCCAGTTCTCGCCGAAAATCACACTCGATCTGATTTCGTGTTCTTCGATTGTGTGTTGCAGACTGGTCTTGGCTGGATTGCTGCGACCTGGGAAAGCGGTACCAGGAAGGACGAAAGGAAGTTAGCGGCGCGTCGACGACTGGTGAGAATTCGCGAGAGGTCGCGTGGAAGCCGAGGAGCCGACCGAGAAATCTCGTCGAGGAAGGAAGACGGTTGTCCGCCGGTATCTAGTCTCATCATCAGGCACTCGACGCGATGCCTGCGCCAACATCAGCGTCAGCGGGTCCGGCCGAGGGCGGCCCGCCCCGCACCGAATTGCAGGAGTTACAGCTCAAGGCCGGTCAGACCACGGATGAGGTGAGTCGGCGTGTATTTATACACACACATGTGTGTGTGTGTGTGTGGACGGACGTATACATATATGCATATGTACATGCGTGTGTGCGTATGTGCGCGCGCGCGCGCGGTGTGACGTATCGTAACTGCCACGAGGATTTACGACGACCGGGAGCTAAAATCAACGCGATATCGCCGATGCGAGTTCGGTCCACGAAGACGATGCGCGAACCGGCGTTTTTCCACGATTTTCAGCTCCGATTTACAGCTGCATGCCGGCTCCACGCTGAGTGTAACGATCGTTCTCCGCCGAAAGAAATCTTCATCGTCGTCGTAACGTCTTAACGTCGTTCTCGTTAATTAGTCTGGCAGTCGTTCTTTGAAAACGATATGAATGCTGGAAGAATTCTTGAAAGGGAGATCTCGAGAACTCTTGAAAAGAGAATCCTCAGACGCGAATATCGTGGATCGAAATCGTTCTGTGTCGCGAGCGCTTGAACATTAATCCTCGGTGGTACCCGACGGGTTTCGTGACTTTTCGCAGTTTTTGTTATTCGACACGCGTGATGAAATGTTTTTACGCAAAAAGGGGAGGATACAAGGTGCGATGTAAAGTATCGGAAAATTCCGGAATCTTCCGTCCTCCGAGGATCAACGAATAGTTAACGAATCAGCTCTTTTCTCAGAGAGATCGATTCAACCCGCACGATCCTTCGTGATTACAAACGAAACATTAAGTCGTCGTCGCGTAACGGACGTGTAACTTGTGGAATCGACTTTGTTTCAGTCTCTGGAGAGCACAAGGCGTATGCTGCTGCTATGCGAGGAGGTGAGTCTGTCCTTTTCAGTATCGTCCTTCCTATTTTGCGCATCGACCCTCGATCCGAGTCCCGATCGTTCCTCGATCCCGCCGATCAGTGCTAATCTCTTTGAAGAACCATCCCGGTCACCATGTAGCGGCCTTTCCGTGACCCCCTTTTAGCCCTTTGTAAGTCCGCCGACTTCCGAGAAACGACTCCGAGCCCCCGTCTCTTCCCTTCACCCCACGTCTATCTCGTAAACTAGGAAACGATTTTCATCGACGAATCGTTGCGCGCTACTGCGACAAGACGGGCGCCCACTGCTTGCTTGGAGTTCTACCGAAACGATGCTAAAAACGATAGCGGCAAAGAGAGAAAAAAACGAAAAAAAAACAATAAAGGAAACAAAGGAGTCGCGCCAGAGAGAGGTGGGCAAAGTACTATTTCGATCGTTAACCGGTCAAGTGGCGATAGTACACACCTCGAGATCCGATTCCCGATCATCGCGCGACGTTTCCGTGAGTCCTGCGCCGTTCTCTACAAGGAGGACTCCGATGATTTGGACTTGAGGTATGAACGGATTAACAAGTAAATCACCGAGGTCGTCCTCCGTCCTACGATGTCATCGAGAACCGGTCGAGCCCGTCAGGAAAACTCTCGGAGGGGACATGTTAACCCTTTCACAGTAGCGAGTCGAAGCCGGCATACGGAGAGATTCCGAAAGATCCTCTTTCGTGCCTTGGGAAAACGGAGTCTCGCGTTTCTTATCCGCTTGGTCTTGTTATTCAACTTCACGCATTTTTGTCTCTTTCTTTCTCAATGCGAGACGCGAATTTGTGAATTCTTTTTTTTTTTCTCTCAATTAGAACCCGTGTACACATCCATCTTGTAGGATTATCTTGTTGAGTAGAAGCGTACACGCGACACGCGGGTAACGTTGATAAGGGTTGACGTGTTAACATGCGAACGTGCGAAAGTGCAGCGCCACTTGACTGGTTGGAAGAACGGTGGTTCTTCTCTTCGCGGGCGCGTCGAATTCCGCGTTTCCGCTCTGCGAAATCACGCCCGCTAACAAGACGCTCCCGCGGTAGCGCGTCTAAAATCGTCGCAATCCGGGGATGGTGGGAAGGAAGGATAAAGAGGAGAGCTTCAAAGGGGGTTTCCGTGTAAAAGTAGGGAGAAAAAAAGGACGCGAGAGGAAGTGAGACTTCGACAAGGGAGCCGATGCGCCGATCTTTCGAAGTAGTATTTTATCCAGCTCTGGCGCCGCAGACGGTTCCCGAGCGTGTTGTTGCGGTCCGAGCGTGTTGTCGCGGGGGATAAAGAGAAAGTTAATTATAACGTTGTGCGCACAACGAACGAACGAGCGGGATGAGAGGGCTCGTTCCCCGACGGGCGACGGTGCAATAATCTCCTCCGATCTTTGCGATTTTGGAGTCGCGAGAATGGAAAGAACCGAGAGACAGAATACAAAAGAAAAGAGAATGGATCGGGGAGAACAGACCACGCGAGAGCGTGTATATCTTGGCCTCGCGTATGAGGAGAAACTGTAAGACGACGCATCGACGCGCTCCGAGAGAGACGGCGAGGCGCGTGACGAACGCGCGCAAAAAAAATACAAACACACACACAGAGAGAGAGAGAGAGAGAGAGGACACGTTCTCGCGTTTGTCGTGTCGATTTTTTTTCTCCTCTTTGTTCAGTTCGCGAACATGCGAAGGTGATTTACATCGCTGAGAATCTCTGACCTGGAACGTTATTACGAACATTCAGTCGCTAACGATGCGCGTACGATAGAGCCGGATCGGGATGGCATTCCGTCCTGGGTACACGTGCACACCAAAGTATTAACGTTTATTAGAACTCGCTGGTCATTCTAATATTTGTGAGCCTTTACTAAAGTTCGATGTGCACTCGTGCGCGTTCTTTTGCGGGTTTATTTTGTAATTTATCGTGCGAAGAGCGCTCCGTCGTATTTCCCCGCAGCCATCGATCGTTCGCGAATTCGAAGACGAGCTTTTCTTAGCGACGGATTCAATCGATGAGACGAAAAAAACGGGAAAATATTATTCTTCGGCTAAATTTAAGTGAATTTTGCCCAAGCGACGGGGAACTCTTAATTTGGGATCCGATTGCCAAAATCTTCGCCTCTTTGGAAATTTGAAGCCGGCCCTCTAGCCGGAATTTCACGGGCGGACAGAGTCCACGTGGAATTTGTTGATCACTCGAGAAAGGATATCCGGTAGCTCTGAAACATAGCTTACATGGATGTATTCAGGAAAAGTAATCCGAAAAGAATTCGGGGTCAGTTGACTGGCGGGGCAATAGTTTGCGCGGGAGAAATTGCGGAATATCTTGTGAAAAAATTTCCGAACAATTTGCTGCATCGATGTAGCGGACGAATTAAATTTCAAGCCTCGTTCGGAAGTTCCAATGCTGTGCGGAAGTGACGACGTGCACAACACGAATATTTTCCACGATACGCGTCGCGTATCGATTCGCTCACGTTTTTATTTTCACCGCGTGTGTGTGTATGTATATTTTATACGCTTATTGCGTGCGCTCGCGCGCGTCGCGACCGTGAAAAAAAGGAAATAAAAGTTCTATCTACATATTCTACAGCTCTCTCCGTGTTCTCTTCCTCATTGCATAATTATTCGCTGTCTTATGCTCGTACCTTCGGTATCTCCTCTTGATACATATGTGTGTGCGCGTCTGTATCTATGAATGTATGCGGTTCTATATATTTGTTTTGTACATACGGGGATGTTTACTCTTCTTCTAACTTTTAACTTTACTATACTTGGAGGAACGAACGCAACTGGCTTCCGCGACTCGCGATCCACGCTACATTTTCGCGTCTCTCCTCTCTCTCTCCCTCTTTCTCTTTTTCATAATAAAAATTATTATCGTGCGGCATTTATTTCGCGAATCGTAGAGCGTTGAACTGTTATTACTTTTTTTTTTATCGAAAAGTTATCTCTGAAATATTGCATCACGTTGAAACCACATTCTCTACAATTATCTTCACACGATGCATTTATCAACAATTGTGTACGCGTTGCGAATATGTAAATTTTCCACTCGTGCGGTAAATTCGTCCGGGATTTTGCACTATCTAAATTTGGCCGTGTCGAAGAACATGCGAGAATAAGAAGTGAACGATTCACTTTTCAAATTTCTTATTTATCGCAGTTGCGTAATATTACGTAGCCACGAGTGCTCGCTTCACTTCTATTGCGTCGCGTTACAATTCACGTCGAGATAACGCAAAAAAATCGACGAAGCGAAAACGCGAGATTCCGCATCTTCGACGGAGGACAGTCCGAGAGAATCTCCGTCAGAATTTCTTTGCTCGTGAAGAACGGAGAGAATCCCTTTAAGGAAGGAAGCCCTTGCGTCGTTCCGTTTTAGTCTCTCTCTCTCTTTCCTTCTCCCTCTCTCTGTCTCACTTTTTCTCTCTCTCGCTACTTATCTACCTGTGGCTGCACTAATAAGCACGTGTTCGCATTTCGAGCACCGGAGACGTCCTCGAATCATCGACTGAAAAGCGTACGTAAACACCCGCAATGCGCAATGCGTCATCGCCTTCTGGATGACGATTGTTATTATCATCGTCGTCGTCGTCGTCGTCGTGTTTACGCACGTTGGTAATGAAGATCGTGCGAGCGGTAGATCGCGTCTCTCGGTCGAGACCAATGCAGCACAAGTCGCAAACTGCGGTGTCCTCGAAGAGAGGACCGGGTATTTTTCGTTCACATGGCGATGGGGACGAGACGAGACGAGAATCTCCAAAATTGTCCGCGATGTCAGAGAGCGATCGGCAAAGGCGATCAATCGCTTGCTTCTTTACCTTCCTACACCTCTTCCCTTCATCTCTTCCTCTTTTGCTCGATTGCGAGTTTTCTTATCACTGGATGAAAATCAGCGATTACCCCCGCATCTCTTTTGCGACCTTCTTTAGCTTCCTGCGACAGTTTGCGAGCGACGCGGATATTTTTTTCTTCCTTGATGACTGTTGCTTGCATAAGAAGGTGCGCATACTTTGCCCTTTTCGTGCGATCGATCTCTTCGCTCGAACGAAATTTCTCTCGGGAACAGAAGAATTATTTTGTAAAAGAAAGCGCCGGGACGTTTCAGCGAGCGAATTTGATAAACTTGTTACGTGAAAACATGGAATTTTTTTTCACGCAAACGCAAAAATGCTACGCGAAAAAGTTCAGAGGATCCAATTTCTTTTTGTACGTAATATCGCGATTTTCGCACAAGTACGAAAGATTTCCTTTTTTTTTTCTTTTTCTTCATATTCGTCTTCGGTCAGACTCATCGAAACCCGTGGAATTAACTTCGCAAAGTGAAAAATCACCCGTGGGAGAGAATCAAATTTGTTCGTCTCGTGCGATGGGATTTTCCCCGAAGTAACGCTCAGTCGAGCTGTCATTATTCACCAGCGGCAGCAGACACGTCACTTCCTTATATTTGTATTGATCCTGCGTTAACGCGACAAATAATTGGCAATTAACGCTAATATGATTATTTCGCGCGACAATATCCGGAAAATTACGGGAACGAATGCGCGGAGCAATCGAACGCGATACAATAACGATCAGTTAATAACGAGTAACAATTAATTGACGATAATAGTGACCACCAAATATAATGTGAGACGAATTTATTCGTGGGTAATCTCGTGGTTTGTGATATTAAAAAAATTCGCAGAGTCCGGTCACGATTTTGCTCGCACACCGTCGCAGCAGCCACGACACAAGTGATTTATGCTATGTTTCAAGCCTCAATCAAAATCGGTAAGGGACACTTCCGACGATATCCTTGTGAGCTTCAATAAAAACTTGAGCTAACAGTCTAATCGTTCTTATCGTGTCTGAATATTTATATACGTTCTGACTTGATTATCCGGTTAATCTGTCGTTTAGACAGCTTGATCATATATCATTATCATATCACACCATATTATATCCAGATACGATAGGAACGTTTAGATTTATTTTCGTCCTGATGTTAAGGCTTT